CAAACAAGGACAGGTAATTCTCCAATCCCCTGACAGTCACCTGGCAAATACAGGCCCCACTGAGGAACAGGCAGAGATGCAGAAGCATCTACAATGTGAAGCATTTATCTTCATGCTAAGAAAATAAATTTAAAAAAACCCCAATCAAATTGTAAATTACCCAAAGAAACTCCCTGAAAGAGTAATTTTCAGTATCCTCAGACCTTTGTGCATCCAAGCATTTTTCTGCCAGTTTGAAGAGTGCTTTCTCTTGCTGCACTACGCAGGTGAATCATTAAAGCAGTAGGGTTGGAATAATCCCACACCAAGAGAGAAAGAAAGAAAAGAATCTGAGATACACAGACTATGTAAGGGTCCCATTTAGGTGATCTATACATGACAGCTTCTTTGCCTCCAGCCTTCTCTGACCTCTTGCTTTCAACAAGTGTATTAGTTACACTTGTTCTTAGAGAAAGATGATGATACTCCCAGCAAACATCTGGGGAAGCTCTGCAAATCCAAAAATTTCCTTTTAATAAATTTTTAAGCTCAAATCTTACCAAAAGTAATTGGATATACAGTACACAGCACTACAGTACATTAACAGAAGTTAATGTTGAAACCCATGTTGTAAAAAGTCTTTCAAAGAACACTTCAATTTCATCAATAATTTCTAGATTTTTTTTTTTTTTTTTAAATAGAAGAGTGCAATATGACAGTGTTGGTTTTGGCCTGCTGTTGAAGCACTTGTTGTCTTGTGTCAAGATATTCCTACCTCAGTTTCTCCTTCTCTTTAAAATTAGCGAAATGGCACCTAGCTGAGCTCAGCTCAATTTCTCTCAGTGCCAGTAACTGAAACAAGCACAACTGTATTCCAAGAAACTTCCGCTGCCTGAAACAGAGCATAAAGTTGAAGAGCCAGCTTGCAACAGAAGTGGACTTCAGACATTGCCAGAAGAGGTGAAGTCCAAAGGACGGATCCAAGTCCAGGCGCCAGCAAAGGTTAATCAGATCCATCGGTTTTGCGCAACACATCACATTTTGTGAGTTCATGACCCAAGAGCTGTCCTGTTTCTCATGCAGCAGCTCCATCTGCTGTCCAAACGCAAAGGTGGACTTTGCGTTGGGACTACATTTACAGAATGAAAAAGCAAAATGACTTGAATAATTTGAAATATTTCTGGAAAATGTCCAAACGCTGCCCCAGTCAGTCCTCCTGCATGAATGGAAACAACAGCCTTTACCTACCTTTATAAAGCAACTAACCAAACGAAAACGTGAGAGGAAGTAAGAATCATATGAGTGTCACGATTCTTCCCTCTTACAGCTTCAGAACCAGTCTTCTGACAGCAAACTCGGACTCTTCACCATCTGCTGTCCAAAGGTCACACTGGTGAGATACCAACACTCCCTTCACCCCACAATACACATGCCCAGGTATTTACAAACTACAAGACGTTTACAGCGATTCTTAGTTACTTACAAGTGATTTATTTGTGTTGAACAAACCTTAATTTAAGGTTATTGTTCTCAAGACTCAGCTCTTAAAAACAAGATTTCTGGGTATTATGCAGTACGGGGGTCTGAGGACTCAAAGTTTCCACACTTTGCATTCCTTTACCAGGAGCACCTATGAAGAGTTCTGTCCATAACAGAACAGTTGTGGCAAGACCATAAGGACCCAAAGACTGTAAATTCGACCAGCTCTGTACAACTTAATGAATCTTGTATAATTTAGTGATTCTTGGTCTGTGTTTACAACTGCTCTGGTTCAATAACACTGTTAACTTGAGGGTTGTACCTCCAATCTGGTACTTGCTGTAACTACTGAAGCCTTCCAGCAACCCCCTTTTCTCGGCAGCAGCGTAGGGGCTATTAGGTCATCAGCCAGCTCGTGAGCTTTGCCTTACTGCTGGCCACCGGCACTCCAGCTGACTTCATGGGAATCACGGGACACGCTGCCCGTGTGCCTGAGTCACGCCGGTTACTCATTACCCTCGGTATCTCAGCCCTGGAGGCAACGGGGAGTGGATTGTGTATGTTAGTCACGTCATTTTACATCGATTTGATTAGCTTCCTGCTGCCTCGGATTTGAGGATGCGCTCATTTTCATGTTCTTCTCTACTGTTATGGATGCTGGTACTTTTACATTACGATAGAGTGCAGCACGAGATTCTCACACAGCCGCTCCACTGCATGACCCGGGTCACATCTCACTGCCAGGGAGACCCCCAGGAGCAGAAAGGCACAAGCTCCGCTTGGAAGACCCGGCTGGGGAGGGTTAAAGAAAGAATAACCTCTTGTCTTTTGGGGTTCCTTCTATGTCTACTCATGGTTTAAAAAGATAATATCATAGATTTATTTCAGACTATAATTACAGCTTTTAAGGGAATATTTTGTTTTACTGAATCCACGGGGGGAAGCAGGGTGAGGAGGAGTGTTACTGTGAATTTAAGGCCGTTTGGAGAAAGAGTTCATCAACACAAGGCAATTGTGGAATACAGTTAGATTCCTCCAAACATAAGGACATATAATACTGAAAACGCCGGAGTGGGATGCCAACAAATATTTTATACTGATCACTGAAGAACTTATAAAAAGTCATTCTTCCGTAAGAAATGAGGACGCCGCGCCACGGCGAGCGCTGCACAGGAAGCGGTGGGCCCCACTCGGGCCGTGGGCAGCGCTCGGGCGGCACGTAGAGGCTGCCGCAAGACTCGTCTGTGCAGCAGCGTATAAGACGAAGCCTGTTCGTATTGGTTAAACAGAAATAAAATTAAAAGAGGAGGAGGAAAAAAGCCGGAGCGTCCACGACCAACGCCTGACGGCGCACGCAGGCTCTATGGGCGGCGCGCGGAGACTCCAACAGGTGGCTCCGTGGCGCAATGGATAGCGCATTGGACTTCTAGAGGGTTGAAGGGATTCAAAGGTTCCGGGTTCGAGTCCCGGCGGAGTCGTGTCTTCTCTTTTTTCTTTTTTTTTTTTTTTTTTTCACCCCCGCCCCCGCGCCTTTCGGCGGAAATCTTTCCGCCCCGCTCTCCCGTCCCTTACCTCACCGCTGCAGCTCTCCAGTCCCCCGGCCTGGCGCTTCCCGGCGGCCGCCTCCCCTCAGCGAGGCTCGCTGGGCCCGCCTCCCGCCGGCCCTGGCGGGCGGAGGCAGCGGTATCAGCCGCCATCGAGCGAATGTGCTGTCTCAGCCCAGCGACATGAAGCTTCTTCCCCAGCAGCGAGAAGGCGGGCTGGCCGAGGGCGGAGCGGGAGAAGGGCTCCTTTCCTTCTCCCGGTGCCGCCGCCCTCATGCAGCGTGACAAGGGCCCCGCTCCTTCCCCTCACGGCGCCGTGGCCGCCCTCAGGCAGCGCTCGCGCTCCGCCAACGCGGCCAGGACCGATACACCGGCCCAGAGGTACATGGATAATACGCTCCCGGGACAGCCCTCGGAAAGGAATTTTACTTGAAAAACCACGGCTGCCGTCTTTCCTGGAGGCACTTCAGTTAGAATGGGCCCCCGTGATAAATTCCTGGTTACTTACAAGCAACAAAACAAGTCCACGAAATGCAGCAGATAACACGGAAGGACTGAACACCTGAATTAACATCATCTTTTCTGACTTACTCGTACCTAACAAGATAGAAGATGAAGAGCCATTTTAATAATAGCAATCAAATTAGATGGTAAATCAAGACAATAGCAGCACTAAACAAACCTCCTTGATTTTGTGCAGAGTGGAATAAAATATAAATCTGTTTTATTATTCCTGAATTATTCAATTTTTTTTTAATAAATTGCTTGTAATCCTGCACGTGTAACTTTCCAATTGTAATAATGCTTATTTAAAAACAATAAAGGAAAAATTGAAAATTAAACACTATCTGGCACATTATCCATCGCTGTTATGCAGCACAATAACCCACTCAAAAATGCCATCTACTTATAAAATGCAGTCCTTCACAGAAACAAACTTCCTTAGAATTTGCAAACAGCAAAACCAAAACCTCCCTACAGTAAACTCATAAAAAGCAACTAAATCAGATGACAGAAGAAAAAATGTTTCTCCTTGTCACTTCTAGTGTACTTCAGTCCAAATACAATGCTTCCCTTCCTACTTTTTGTATTTAAGCTTAATAAAATTTTCCTTAGTTCCTACTGAAAAAAACTGAAGGCAGAGGCTTTTACAGACACATGTTTTCATGTTGCAAGTAATATTTACATAATCAATTCTCTAAAAATGCAAAAGTTAATAAAGGACTACAGTCCAAAAGAAAAAAATAAAAGTGCTGGTTCAAGGAGCTGGGCATTTTCTAGAGGTAAGCACAGGGACAGCTCTCCTGAGATACTGCTGTGTAATAGATTCTAATGTGAATTCCAGTGGAAAAGTACAGGAACACAATTCCACAATATATTTGTATGAAAAGTGTTTTGAGGAAAATATTGCATAGACAACACAGTATTTCAGAATGCTTTAAGAGAATCAGGAGGAAAAACCTCAAAGATTATAGCAAGCACTATGAATTAGATTGATGCTGCTTGCTACAAATTTATGGAGTCATTTTAAAAAAAGAAAGCAAATGCAAGGTCCATGAGGCAGTACAACAATCATTAATAATCCTTCTGACTAGATATAAAGAATTTATTTTTTTTTTCCATGAGGAAAGTCAAGCATTGGAGCTCTGGGAGTTGGGCAGTCTCCATCCCTGTAGGTTTTCAAGACCTGAGTGGATAAAGCCCTGAACAACCTGGTCTAACTCTGCTTTGAGCAGGAGGCTGGGCAGGACAAACTCTCATGGTCCCTTCCAAATTCAGCTATGGCAAGATTCCAAGTTTTAATAAGACTTACCTAGGCAGGCCCCTGTGATGCAGAAAGGACTTCTTAAAAATTATGAGATAAGAACAGTTTTACCACATGGAAAATAGCAATGATAAGAAGAAGATACCTTCAGTTTTAATGAGACTAAATTGACTGCAGAGGTTAAAGACCCCCAAAGAAGGAAAAAACGAGGAAGTGTGAAGAATGAAAGCATGACAGGAAAAAAGAACTATTTTACTTCTGTTCACAAACCATACCAGCAACATCTCAGCTACCATCAGCCTGATCCCTACCACAGTCTTTGCTCCATCTCTAAGGAGATGGACTGTGAACTACCTGGGCTGTACAACCAGTGCATTATCTCTGGCCCAAGTTGAAAAAGAAATACTAACAAAACCAAGGGGAGCATAAAGAAAGAGGAGGAAGGAATTAATACTGTCTGTATAAAATATTCCAGTGACATCCCAAGCAGCAATAGGTACATATTTAAAAACCCAACACACTACCTACTGCCCTTTTATCTCAGGGAAATTTCTTGTTAGCAATGGTTTAAGTCAATGAAGGCAGAATTACAGATTAACACAAGTATGTCTGACAGCCATTAAAATACTACTCTCAACTGATAGGTAAAAAATGGTTTTTGTTTTTCCAGAGAAACCTAATAAGCCTGGGCAACCACATGGTTCATTTTGTTTTTACTCTTTCTCCAGCACCTTAAACCTTATATCAATTTCAAATACTACCTGTCTGTGCTCTTATGTAAGTTGGTGCTCAAGAAAAGGTGCTGTATGTAGCACCTGAACTAACAGGGTGCTCACGAGATAAGGCTCCAGGTGACAGGCAAGCCGGCCAACACAACCTGCAAGTACTACCCTGCAGCCCTGGGAACGGTCCAGCACATCTCACCTTGTCTGCATAGAACATGGGCACTTACTGGGCACAGAGTGTGACAAAACAGAAAGTATTACAAGAATCAAAGGGGAGTAACTGAGTTACACTAATTGTAACAGCAATACAATAACCAGGTAATTAAAACCCGACTAAACGCCACAACAGTTCTGACAATCCCAAAAGGCTTTGACTCGTCACTAAAGGGGAACTGAGCCTGTGACGTCTCTGGCTCCATAATGGTAGCAGAGGCCTTCCAGACTCACTCTATTCCTTTACCTGCAGAGCTTCGCCAGGGCAGCTCCCAGCCACAACCTGCACAACACACCCTACAGAAGGGATGCCAATGGCACAGTATTTTCAAAAAGATTAGACAAGTATCAAATCGTAAAAAAGTAGTAAAACAACATGTGACTGTTAAAATTTTAAATATAAATATTACTTAATTGTATTATTTCTTAAACAATAGGTAATTTGTATCTTATTTAAATTTATTTATAAATTATATATATAATCTATATTATAATACGCACATAAATATAAAAGTATATGTGTAGGCACTGAATTCTGGGTCATTCTCAATCCTGTTGTAGTCAGTGTTGAAATAAACCCTTCATAACCAAACAATTTTTCAGTACCTTCTGTTACAGTGTCGGCCAGCAGTGCCTGACAAGACATGGAAAAATTTGTTCTGGCACACAGCATGTGCCAAGGTGAATTACACGTATAACTTTAAGTGAATTTAATTAATTGATATAAACACTGAAGCCTCAGTTCAGTTCAAACAATCTGCAAAGCCAGATTTTTTACTCAGATTTAACAATATGCTTTCATATAAATATTATTTTACATAAACATTAATTTAAATAGAATTAATTTTAAAATATAAAGTAATTTAAATTTAGATACCTGATAATTTGATAAAGCTCCCTACCAAATTCTCACTGCAAGAATTTCCCTAAATCTCAATTTCCACATGACCTGCAATCTTAAAAAAAAAAAAGAATACCACCACAACCAAAGCATTCTGTAAAAAGTTTTATAAGTTGTTCCAGCTTGGTATTTTTCTTCAATTCTTAATTGTGAAATTTCTTCTTCTTCCGATTCCTCTTCCCTGCTGCAAAAGCTGCTTTTTCACTCATGATCTCCTGATACTTCTTTTTATTATATCTGAACAAAATAGATAATTTTTAAGCATGGTAAACCAAAGTTCAGGAAAAGATAACATGGAAAGTACTCTATACACATAATTTGCCAAACTGAGTTCTCTCTGTTTTCTGAATCAAATTTCTTTGATTTTATACACTTATGCATAGGTAAAGGGAAAGCAACACTGGGTCAATGGTAAATGCAGGTAAATTTTTTTGGAACTAAATTGGATTGAAGAATCATTAATTTTGGTGGGGGTTCCTCATTGCACATGCAATCCCATTTTGGACAGTTTGCTGAAACACTGCTACTGCTCTTAAGGGGAAGACTCATCAATTTTGACAACACTGTGAGTGAATTATACTCACTTTTATACTGCCTTCTCACCAAACTCAAGAAAGTAAATCTCGCTCTACTCAAGACTGAAAACTGACATAAGATGAACGCTAAACAATTAAGAGGATACATTGACTATGAGTTGCTATCCCCCTAATACAGATTCTTATGCACCTGCACCGATTGCTACGACAGACACTGCACTGAGCAGTACTGAGGCTTTTAAATGCAACACTGAAATCTGACAAATATCTGCACTAATGCTGAAGTGTCTGGTTAAAGTCCTTAATTAACCACAACATAAATTAACTGATCAAATTTCAAATATAATCATTTTTAAAAACACCTTCTACTAAATACCTTACAAATCAGGTCAAGCCAGAAAACTAGTCAAGAAACAGCTATACTAGCTTGCCTTCCCGATTTTATATAGTTAATTTACAAGTCACACAAAATTAACGTTATAATCCCAAATCATGCACTACTTCACAGAAAACATGTCATTATGCGAAAAGAGAAGTGCAGATTAACATCATGTAATAACCAATATGAAAACGGAACAACTATAGGATCTACTCCAAAAACTGTATGTTATGCAGACATTAATTAATTCAATCATAATCTTGAAGTAAGTCTTCTATCACGATTTTGATTCCCATGACAGGTGGCAGACTGATATATTTATAAAATGAAATAATATCAACATTAACAGAATTACTGCTCTTTTCTATCAATTATGCCAAGAAAAAATAATCAGTCTTTAGGAGTGGCTGCCAATAGCGATAACCCAAGTTGGATAAAACCCTTTTATGAAGATAAAATACATGTTATCTCAGTTCTAATTATCCCATCACTTAGGCCTTCTAAATGGCAGTGTTATTGAAGTGCTAAAAGATTGAAATTTTTTCTTTGAAGTATAAAAGAACCACCACACAAGCTGAATAAAACAAGAAAAAAGTTATATGGTTAAAAATACTCCTCTCTTACACGGGATATTAAAATTACAAGGCTATTTTTAAATACCTTCTAAACTCAGAATCCGCAAGCAGCTCTTCAACAATTGTTCTCTTCCTTTGTTTCTTAGGGATTCGACTATGGTAAAAGTCTATGGGAGAATCAACCACAGTTCCAACCTAAAAGCAAAAATGAAAACATTCTTACTGTACAGCAAGATGTTGATTATTTTGCGCTTTTTTTGTTTGTTTAAATCCTCAGCACCAAGTGTAAAGACACTTACAGAACAGATCAGAATGACAGCTGCTTAACAAAAGTGCAAAGTACCAAAATAATTAGGTCATGTTTTGTATGCAGTCACTTTTGTTCTCATTGCATTGTGCAGACAGGAGAGCCTGAGCTTTAGGACTGTACAGTTTTCGACACTGGACTGCTATATCAATGCTTTTATTCATAAATAAAATCCAGTTCTCAATTTTTAAACATTTTAAATATAAGGGAAAGGAAACCCTAATGACCACCTCAACTCTCTTCCCTGTCTCTGTCATTGTGGTGTTTTTGCTGGATGACTACAGAGCAGTTAATTTAATACAAGGGCTTGATCCTGAAATGCATCACAGTGTTTCCAAGCAGCACGTCAGTCAGCTCTGACAGTTCACGTCAGGAGTAGAGCTACATGGAGGACAAGTTTCATGCACTGAAAACAAACCTGCACAGATCTAATTATGTGGAAAACTTCCGTCCAAGTTTTTCTAACTTCAAAACATAAAAGAGCCCCCGTGCTTCAGAGTGAAGTGGTAATATTTTGAGAAATGAAAACATTGCCTCATGCACATGAGCTATTCAAAGTTGCTGCAAGCCTATTTCTGTAGCTTCTGCATAATTTCTTTCTTTATGCAAACCACTTGACAAGTACAGCAGCAGAAATTTCAGCTGATCACAAAGGCAGGTATCTCCATTCAAACTGCATTAGCTAGTAAGAAAATAAATGCCAATTATTTTCTACATGCTTGTTTAAAAAGGCTAATACTTTAAAAAGCAATGAAAATCTAGTCCTCTGAGGGTTCAGAATACGGACTCAGTCAGATATTTGTTCACAACTATGAGATCAGCCAAAACTAAAAAAACCCCAGCATATACACATATATAATACAGAGATTAACAGTGGCAAACTGCAGCAAAGTAATCAAAACGGTTTAATAATTAAGATATGAAATTAAATCAACATAGAGGCTACCTACAAAATAGGCATTCTTAAACAGCTGTTCAAAACTCCAGCAGTACAATGCCACCTTCTGCTCCTTCCTTACCTGGAAGTACTTGGGCAGACCATCTCTATCATTCTTCTTATAAAAATGCTTAGGGTCCAGTGAAGCTCTCATCTTCAAAACTTTAAGATCATTTTTCAGCTCAGTTGTGATTTCTGGGGCTTTCATACCAAACCAGCCGTCACCTGTTGTTTTCTCTCGCTCTGCCTAGGATGCAATACCAAAAAAAATGAATTTGCATTCAGGAACTAGGATGGGGTAGAACAGGGAACTCTTTCCTACAAAAGATGGATAAAGCATTTAGAATATAAGTACGTACCTTTAAAAGGTGTATGCTATGACCTTTACAAAGAAGGTCATCAGCACTGTACCAATGACAGATCTGTACCATCTGAGCATATTATCTTTCACTTCACTGTCCTGGTGACTAAAAAGATGGTTTTTCAAAGGACAGCTCAAAGACACTAAACTGAAGTTCATCACTCCACTTCCAGTGAGGCCTGTATATGCACACAGTCCCAGCACAAGGCCTTCCACCACAGCTTGTTTTGTTATTTCAGGCACTATCAGCTCTTCACTTACCCTGCGTTGCTTCTTTAGCTGGTGAAGTGATTCCCTGAAGGGTGGGACACATTCCTTTTTTTCAAAGTCTGGAGTTATTACACTCTTCTGCAAGAGCTGTAAGGATTTTTTTCAACATTAGAACAGTCACTTCTGGATACAAATTTAACTGCTTAACTATATTTACAGAACCTACTAAAGGAATCAGATGGAATCTAAGCAAGCATTTTAATGAAACACTCAAGCTGCTTTGATTCACAAAAAATGCAGTATCCACAAAAAAACCCAGAATCCTGGCCAACAGCAGAAAGCAGTTGGCTTGCTCTGGAAGTAGTGAAACAGCAAAAGCTCTGGAATAAAGAAGGCTTTCATGGATGAGCCGAAGAAAACAGTGTCAACAAAAATAATACATTCCCTTTATTTCAAAGGGTGCTTTTGAAATAAAACTGCTAATTCCATATTAGGGAAAGTATAGACCTCTCTTTACTGGAGTTCATTCTGGCTATGGACTAAATATCTTGTCAGAAGACCTTCATGTCTTCTGACAGCTCATGTACCATTAGGTAGAACTGCAGGTATAATCAACCTTAGTTTATTTTACAAGAGGGTGCTGGAATTTGCACTGCTTTTCAATTTCTGAAGTGTCACGTATATATTTCAATTTTACCATTAAAATGTAAATCCATACTTTCAGTCCAAAAAGAATGAAAATTCTCAGCAAACCACAAAAAGGATACTTCTTTAAAAGTAAACAAACCAACCTTATTAACATCTCTGTGTTACTGCAGTCACAGATAACTGACTAATTGTAAACACATTACCTGGTCTTTCTTCTTCTCCTTCGGATTTTCAATTACACTCGACCTGGGCTTCTGCTTTTTTGCATCAAAACTAATATATAAACCTCCAAGCTTCTTGATATTCAAACCAGGGTCTATGCTGCTGGAAAGATGTAAACTAAAAGAGAAATAGTTAATTATTAGAATATTGTAACATGCATGTAGCTAAACCTTCTATTGTCCTCTGACAAAGATAAACAGAAAAAATATTTTCTTATTCTTCCAATTTAGGTTCAGTTCTGCAATGATTTTTGATATCTAGAATATTTAATTCAGAAGTGACAGAAAATGAGGGGGATTCATGCCATTACATGAAGTGAGATTTTATTACTGAAAAATATCTGTGAAATAATTTCCACAAATCTTTCATATTAACTGTAATGTTATATTAATATACTCTGTAAATTTGAATTCTTAAATTTGCTTAGCCTTGCCAGAAGAACTCATGACCAGCATCCTTCCAAACCATGAGAAGCTTGCTAGCTGAAGAAAAAAAACCCAACCACAAACCTACAAACTAGAATTCACTGTAGGAATGTTCAAGTCCTTGTCTGTATAACCATACTAGGAACAAAGTTATTAAACTTGGATAAGAAAGTGGTTAGATGGTTACATCCAGAGGGCAGTGGTCAATGGCCATAGCCCCTACGGATGTCAGTGACAACGGGTGTCCCTCAGGGGTCCGTACTGGGACCAGCATGATTTAATGTCTCATTAATGACATAGACAAAGGGATCGAGTGCACCCTCAGCAAATCTGCAGATTACACCAAGCTGAATGGTGTGCTTTACACACTTGAAGGATGGGATGCAATCCAGAGGGACTTGGACAAGCTCAGGAAGGTGGCCCCAGGAATCTCCTGAGGTTTAACAAGACCAAGTGCGAGGTGCTGCACCTGGGTCGGGCCAACTCCCAGTGCCAGTGAAGGCTGGGGGATGAAGAGAGCGCAGCCCTGCCGAGGGGGACTCGAGGGTGCTGGTGGATGAGAGGCTGGACATGAGCTGGCAGTGTGCACTCACAGCCCAGAAAGCCAACCCTGTCCTTAGAATCAAAAGAAGATTAAGACCTACTTATCCAACCTAAACAAGGGTATTACGCTTTAAACATATGAAGCATAAAAAGGGATTTTAGCAGCAGTTGGACCACAAGAGTCAGGAAGTACCACCCCACTGAAATTATTCTATGCTAGGCTGGTTTCCCTGAAGTGTGACCATCCACAGCACAGCAAGAACTGACACACAAAATTATATGCAACTGTTTATGATTAAAAAGCATGATCTAATTAGGCAATGTGTAAGGAATTTACTCGACTTTTTGTTACTTACATTCCAAGTAAAAAAACACAATAAAAAAACACCAAAGCCCACAATTAAGAAAACTATGACCTGAATACACAGTTGAGTCAGCCTGACCAGTTTAACCCAGTTTCACACTTTTGTTTTTTAAGCTGAACACATACAAGGCCTCCAGATGCCAAAAAATTTCAGAATTCTGCTCATGCTATATAAAAAACTGAAAAAAACTTGAAACCCTCACTTTATGGACCATATTTGTATTTTATAATATGTGCAACCCTATTTTCCACACCAAATTGACTTTTGTGAGAAGAATACTCCTTCATTTATTCTGCATCATTTTAGCACTTAATGTACATATCCTATGCGTATTCTTCAACAAAATGCATATTCTTTACTATTCCCAGAAAGATACTTACACGTCAATCTTATTTTTCAACAAATCATCCTCTTCATCTTTTTCATCTTCATCTACCAATTCTTCTTCATCCTCTTCCAAATCTGATTCTTCACCTTTTTCATTTCCTTTATGCTTACTTTCAGCATCGCTCTCTCGGTCCATCTCATCTAGATAATACTTTTGGCTGGAACTCATGCCAGGCTCAGTATCAATTACAAAAAGACCTTCAACATGCAGCGAACCCTTTTTTAAAGATTTGTTGAGGGAAGGAGTCCTCTCATCTGACTTCTTATAACACAGATTCTCATCAACGGTATCTATGTCTGCCACATCACTCTTTTCAGATTCATCACTTTCACCGTTGCTCAGAAACAATGCAACAGAATCATTACCACTGCTTGACCTTTCACTGCTGTGGAACACCTCATATTCTTTTGCTTGGTCTTCACCACTGTCAAGCACCCTGCTTTTATCGATGCCATCAGTTCTCTGAGCAACAGCTATGTCCTTTGGTAGGCTGCTCACTGCACTAGTTCGCTTACTCCTTGATTTATCAGAATGTGTGAAAGGGTGCTGTGCATCTGCCTCAGCATCTGGTCTTTTGCATTCTGAAACTTTTTTACTTTCATCTGGTGTTATTTGCTCTTGGGATTCTAGAAATTGTTTGGGACTCGTGCACTCAGTCAAAGAAATATCCATTGGTTCTAATTTCCCTTCCCTCTCAAGTATTTTATTGTGATCTTCCTGTATTTGGCCACAGGCTGCTTCTGAATGGTCTACCTCAAGAGACTCTGAGTTTTTTACTGGTTTTTTTGCAGGTGATTTAGTGTCAATTTGTTTCATTTTTGTAAGACTGCTGGGTGTCAAATCATTTAAAACATCTTTTTTTGCATCTGGGCTCTGGGTTGTATTAGCAGATTTGGAAGAACATTTGCTTTTAGGTGAAGTGGGTTCTTTATTACCCTCAATGACAGTGGAAGCATCTTGTGTGTCAGAGATAAGTTCTGCAGGTCTAGAATCAGAAATTATTAAGGGCTCAGATTTAACAGTGTCCTCAATTAAATTCTCATCTTCTGAAACAAATCCATCTTTTTCCTCACTCTGCTTAGTAGTTTTTGCTTGTGATTTCATTTGCATGCTTCTAGTAACTCGTTTGCTAGTGATGGATGGTTCCATATCAAAACTTAGGTAACATGATTCTGCATCAGAAGTATCTTCGCTCTGGGTTTCACAAACTCTATTTGGCTGTAATTTCTTTTTGCTTTGCCTGCTTCTAGTAGTTCTGGTAACATTAGGCATCTGGACACCAGAAACAGCAGAGGAACAAGATTCAGCTTCAGAGACATTATCTTCATCGAGAATCCTGCTTAACTTATTCATAAAAGGTGTACTGTCATGTCTCCTTTTGTCAGCAGAATCTGGCTGATGAGGAATTACAATTTGTCGCCTTCGTGTTACTCTTACAAACAAAGGTGTCTGGAGACCAGACACAGAAGAGCAGTTTGATTCTGTTTCTGACACATCCCCATCAACTTGGGGTTCTGCAACTGATTGTGCTGAGTGAACAGTTGTGTTCTCATTCCTAGTAACCTGCACCTCTAAGCTATCACTGACATCTGACTTTGTTTCTGCATGTTCCAAGTCTTCAAACTGAGATTCCTGAATCACCTCTGGCTTATGAACTGACTTAGTTCTTCTTTTAGTCATCCTCCTAGTAACAGGAGTACTAATTTCAGCAGATCCCACCTAGAAAAGGAGTAAAAAAAAAAGGTATACTATTGACACATGAAATAACCCTATAAAAAGGATGCTATAAAAATCACTAAGAATTCTTTTAAACAAATCTACTCATACTGACAACATATTACATGTCTCCGTGTAGTCTTATCCATGTGTAAGAAGTGTGTACAAACCATCCCTTGCTTATCCTGTCTTTTGGTCAAGGCAGGAGAAGAAACACACAAATATCTTCTGATTTTAAAAAGTCCTGGCAAGTTGCCATAGAAAGCAAATGCAGAAGAAATGTTCAGAAATATTCAATTATTTGCTCAACTATAAAACATTGAAGACTAACTACTGTCAGAATGTGCCCCAAAACGGTTTCCCCCACCAATTTTAGCAGCTTTAGGAACAAGCTGACCTCACAGCAACCGCAACACTAGATATAAATCTACTAAAAGCTATTGTAAGTAACACAGAGATGCTAAAATATCTGTAATGGAAAAGGAAAGAAATATACCTTTAACTCGCAGTGTTAAGTGGCTTAATGCCCTACGGCGGCCGCCCCCAACCCGCAGGGCGGGCTGCGGCACGGGCAGTGCGGGCGGGGGCACCGACACTGTCACCGTCACTGCAGCTGCCGCCGCTCCGGCCCCGCGGTACCGGGGGGGCTCTCCCGCCCGGCCCTGCCGGCCCCGGACCCCAGCCCGGCCCTGCCGGCCCCGCGGTACCGGGGGGGCTCCCCCGCCCGGCCCTGCCGGCCCCGCGGTACCGGGGGGGCTCTCCCGCCCGGCCCTGCCGGCCCCGCGGTACCGGGGGACCCCAGCCCGGCCCTGCCGGCCCCGCGGTACCGGGGGGGCTCTCCCGCCCGGCCCTGCCGGCCCCGCGGTACCGGGGGGGCTCTCCCGCCCGGCCCTGCCGGCCCCGCGGTACCGGGGGACCCCAGCCCGGCCAGGCCGCGCGGTGTGTGGCGATGTCGGCCCCGCGCCCGGCCCCGGCTGCGCTCACCTCCGCCGCCCCGGGGGGTTCACCATCGGGCCCGGGCTCCGAGGGGCTGCCGCTGCCGCCGCCCGGCCGGGCCCGCGCCCCCAGCTCCCGGCGCCGCGCCGCCGCCGCCCGCCTGGTGTTCACCATGTCCCCGCCACGCCGCGCCCGCCCCTTCCTCCTTCCTCCTTCCTCCTTCCTCCTCTCCTTCCTTCCGGGCCCCGCCGGCCCGGCCCCTCCGCTCCGCCCCGCCCCGCCGGGGGAACAGCGGGCTGCAGGAAACGCGGCCGGGAGGGGAGGCGGGTTCCGCTAAGGGGGAATCGCGGGATGTAAGGCACTTGAAGGAGTGCAAAAGACTATTTGTGGCAGCGTGAAATGCTCTTACTGAGATGAGAAGCACAAGCTAAGAAAAAGCCTACAAGAATTTAAAATTTAGTTAAGCTTTCAAAAGGTTTCTCGTGGAAGGAAATCCCATTTCTCTCACCTTCATGCAAAACAAACGAATGAGATGATGTGAAACCAATAGTGTAACGCTTTATCAGGTTACCTCTAGAAATATCATGTCTTAAAAGGTCCTTTTGTACAGCAAGCACACTGTTAACAGTTTACAGAAAGGAAATAAATCATGATCCCATTAGAGGAGCCTTTCTATTGTTTTAGAATAATTCTTGTTTGGTTTCAATTTATAAAACTGAGCACACACACAGAAGTTAACATGATACAGAATGTATCAGCTAAATAGAGACAGAACTTACAGGTAGTGGTTAATCATCAGCAGCACACAACTCATAGATGGTAGGGAAGTTTAATATTAAACTCATGTAGTTTTGAACTCTGACATACACTGGTCCAATGTTAAAAAAACCCACTACGTTTTGATTAGGAGAAAAAATTCAAACTTTTATTGATGCATTACTAGTTCCAATTCCCCATCTCTCTCATTTATCAAAAGAACTGAAGAAGCAAAGAAAATTTCCCCTTGTTTACCACCTACAAATAAGATATTTGAGGACTCGAAAGGTACCTTGAAAAACCTTAATCTTTTAACTTTGTGGAATGGACTATATGAGGCTGACACTCTAGACGCTACCTGCAGGCGTTCAGATTCCACTAGTTGTCTATATGACAGAATTTAAAAGATGTTGATGAAAATTCATTCCCTCACAGTCCAAGTCTCAAAATATGTACAACTAAATTAATGAGTACTGCCAGTATGAGGTCATGCCCCTGCCTGAAATCAAAATGAAATTTATTGTCTTAGACACTCTGTATCAGAGTTCTTGCTGCACTACAAGTTGAACTTTTGCTATCTATTGTGATTGAATGGCCAAGGGAAGGAAAAGGTCTTTTTGATAGAATGACTACCTTAAACCAAAAGCTTTGCCTTAGCTGCAGCAATCTCTCTGGGATTCGAAAGCCAGTGCACTAAGCTCCTACCAATCAGAAAGATACCGACCCTCAAGCTAACCCTTGCTTTGTCATTTCTGAACAGCACGCAAGCAACAAAGTTTCCTAGGCAACTGCAAAAATGTAATTAATTTTACACAATCCTATAATGAACAGCACCAACATTTACTGTCTATTCTACTTGGCCAATTGATTGTGTAGGTCACAAGTATCAAAAAAACAAGCCACAGTCGAGAAGGAGACAGGAACAATTCAGTTTTTGATTTACAGATTTCTTCATCACTTGTTTTCAAATCTCATTTTAAACATTCACAAATAATACATTTTCTATTTCAAACAGTAAAAATGCCATCACATTTGTGCGAACACTAAACAAAGCGTATTGAGGCACAAAGAAGCCAGAAGGAATTCAAGTAACAGTCAGAAAGTAATTTGGAAGAAGCATTTTTTTCTAAATCATAGAAATCTTTTACACTCTATTAAAAATAAACCAATTTTCCCCTCCCCATAAATTAAACAGCTGACTTGCATATATATACATACCAAGCAATGAGATACCAGCTTAATTTTTTGGGGTAGTTTTTCATAAAAGATGACAATTTTCTGTAAAAAACTAGTCCTTGAATGCTTGAAATCTATGCACCTATCAGATAAGTATTATTTAGGAGAAATTTGTTTTTTAAAAAACCAAAAATATACATTTCTCTATACTACCTAATGGCAGCTAAAATATAATGATAATTTTTACAGTGAACTGGTCATAGAAAGAAAAATATTTTAAACTGTTACTCTATGGATAGCTTCAAATAAAAAAAATTTTCATAATTTAAATGAACTGGTCAATAGGTTAAGAAAGAAAAAGAGTGTTAGAACACTACAGACACTCCTGCTGACATCACACAGAATAATTACAACTTTTGGTATTTTGTTATAAATGCTGTAAAAGTGTTTCTATGAAAAATGCAATGTTCCCCCATCCCAAAGAAATTTAAACAGTTAGCCATTAAAAAAAAAAAGAAAAAAGGGTTTTAAGATGCATTTCTTTTAGCTTGCATGATATAGCCTTTGGACTTGATAATTCCTCTGCTTTTAACAATGACTGAATACCGCAGAAGCCATAAAGGAATCCACTCGCTTGCTTTCACGTTCTGGATGCTTTCCTGAAGAACTTCTTGGAAACTTGCTTCACAAAGTAATTCTGAAGTTAAAAAGGGACATTTGTGCTTAAAATAATGTCATGTAAACAGCTGCAAAAAGCAACACTTACTTAAGAGAAGCCTTTTCCTACAGTCAAAGATCCTAAGTAATGCCACATACTCCACAGATCCATTCTTCCAGAATGCATGTAGGAGAAAAGCAGCTGAATATTACAGAGCAAATCTTCAGGACACTTTTTTGGCAACTGTGAGTGTTTCCCACAAAACCAATTAACTGAAATTTCAACCATATCAAATGGAGTTGATGAGTAGAGCCATTAGCAGGAGAAGAGGAAAATTAAATTTGAGAAGCTAGATAGACAAACTAGAGGTGAATTAAGAATAAGGCTGAAATCAGCAAAGTACTGAGCATTCACAGGTACCTCTGCAGTCACTAGAAGCTCAACATTTATAGCATCTCCCATAACTTGGTTTAAATGCCAGAAAGCAGGAAAGGAAGGCAAGTACAAATCCTCCTTATTTCCTCCAAAAAGTTAGTCAAGAGAACGATCTCGTTGATGAGGGGTGCTCCCAAAAGATAGTCTCAATACTCTCAGGTGGCCATTACAGAAAAGTTAAGCTTAGCAAATAACATATAAAGGAATCACTGCTTGTGCTGTTTTCTATGAAATCCTCTTCTCCTTCATTTCATGACTTACAATAGAGAGTACTCATTAAATTGCAAGTTGCATTTTGGACTTCACAGGACATGGACATTGTCAGATTGAATGGCAATTCATCTCGCATGCTGTCAGAGCAGTGAAAAATCATGCCCAGGCACTGATGAAGTCCATTAGTTGTAAGAGTGGTACTGTGAAGCACATACTTCAGAAGTAGCACTTCATATAGTTTTTTCTTTGGGGCCAAATGGAAAGGAAGGAGAAGGAAGGAAAAGTAAGATCACCATGAACAGTTGGTCATAACGAAGAATGTAGGGAAGGAATTAACTAAGTATTGTTTAAGACTTCTCATGCTCCAGCAAGATATTTAAGGTGTCCTTATAGTGAAGAAGATTAGATGATGTTTGAAAAAAACTAATATAATAACCCAGAGAGCTAGAAACGCAGTTCTGCAGCCCAAAGGAAAGCCTTCTTCAATCATTTAGCAAACAAATTACTACATAAAACAAGTGAAGAATTTAAAACATTTTTTGTAATAATGTTATTTTAAGAAGTTTTACTTTGAAAGAATCATACTAAAAGCATAGAAATTTTACAGATCTTATAGTATTACCAAACTACTCAGAAATCAACTGACCATTAACATTTCTATGTAATCTATTTCACAGACAAGTCTTGGGCAAGTAGACTTTTGTCATTTATTGCCTTCAGCAAAAGAACTGTCCTTTCATTCTATGTTTTATGGAAATATGCAATTTCTTTAACATATGTATTACAAATTTCTTGGTAGGTTGTTCTTCTATTTACTCTATTTTCTCTAATTATAACTATTTCAAGAAACTATCTGAAGCTCCCCTCTCTTCCTTGAAGCAACAGCAAGAACTTAGTAGAAATATTTTATGAAGGAGAAACTTCTAGAATCTTTGGCTCAGGATTCAAATGTAACAAACTTTTAAAAGATTATTTCCAATTTTGTATTGAATAAATGCATTTAGAAGGCTTCTATTACCTTAGCTGGCAAAGTCTTACCTTTTGGGTCATTGTGAGTTAACAGCTGGATGTCACGCTCTTTTGCAAATGCTGTGAGATCAGGTGGCATCACACAACAGGAAGCCAGGTTCACCTGATTGCTGCTTGGTTTCACCTGAAAGTAACACAATACTTTTATAAGAAAAATATACTAATGGACTTACTTTAGTTGTTTCCTCCATGCCCTCTATTACAACAGAAATTTTGTTTTGAACAATTTGCCTTTGACCACTGTTTTGAAGTCTGAGCAAGGCTAATTAATTCTGCATGACTAATGAATGTAGGCAACTCTGCAA